GTTGCAGCTTGTCACAAAGCAGTTTGTTCCGATGTTGGGGACTTACATCTTCAATGGCATTGATCACAAGTCTCAGTTATTGACACTGTAGAAGATCTTTTCCTTACACAATGGCTTGAAACAGAGAGAAGCGCTTTATCAATCCTTCTCCAAATTTTCCAAGATCTTGATTTGCTTTGTGGTTACAAAAATTCGAAGGTTTCATCTTTGTGACATGTGATCAGATTGGGTGATTCTAGTTTCATAGAATGGGCCAGAGTAAGCCCACTTTTACATATGATTCTAGTCGGCAAAAAGTTTAATGAGATGATTTCTCTGCAATCATACAAACGACAATAATTTGAGTTAATTTAACACCAATTACATCAAAAGGTTGATTATCAACAAAATGGGGTCCTAGAATAAGATCGATCAAAATATATACATATTAAAATTATCTAAAAAGTTAATGGGGATCAAAGAATCAATTACATCAATTTGCTTACTGCTTCAAAAGAAAAGATAAGAGCCACAAATATAATTTGAAAGCAAGAAAATAATTCGACCTTCTTTTTTTTTTTTTTGCCATCTACAATTCAGTGATTCACACAAGCACACTTTTTAAGTGTAAATCCATGAATGATATAGTAAACTACCAATTATTTTAGGTTATACATAATGTGATGTTTATTTTAGCTATGTAATTTTTTTTTTCTGCCGTTGAAGCTTCAATCGAGACCATATTTTGCTCGAATGTTAAAAGCACTTGTATAATACTTATTAATAAAACAAAACAAAAAAGTGAAGTTTAATTAAATCGTGTAGCTTTATTCTCATACTTGATTACAGTTTTCAACTTTAATCAAAATGAACATAGGAATTTCCTTAATCATTTTTCTATCATGAGATTTGACTAAGCACTTTTTTTTGGGGAAGATTCTAGTTTCAATGTAAAAAAATTATTCGCCCTATAGCATCCATTTTTCTTTTTGGGTATCTCCTTTGAGGCCGTTTTGCATAATGATGAATTTGGTATAACACAATGATTATT